GGCCAGTTGGTCCAACCGGTCCACTGGGCCAACTGGCCAGCTGGTCCAACCGCTCCACTGGACCAACAAGCCTGTTGTCCAACCGGTCCATAGGACCAACTGGCTAGTTGGTCCAATCAGTCCATTGGACCAACTGGCTAGTTGGTCCAACCGGTCCATAGGACCAACTGGCCAGTTGGTCCAACCGGTCCATAGGACCAACTGGCCAGTTGGTCCATCCGGTCCATAGGACCAACTAGCCAGTTGGTCCAACCGGTCCATAGGAGCAACTGGCCAGTTGGTCTAACCGGTCCAGAGGACCAACTGGCCAATTGGTCCAACCGGTCCATAAGACCAATTGACCAGTTGGTCCAACCGGTCCACTAGACCAACAGGCCAGTTGGTCCAACCAGTCCACAGGACCAACTGGCCAGTTGGTCCAACCGGTGCACTGGGCCAACTGGCCAGCTGGTCCACCGCTCCACTGGACCAACAAGCATGTTGTCCAACCGGTCCATAGGACCAACTGGCCAGTTGGTCCATCCGGTCCACTCGACCAACTGGCCAGTTGGTCCAATCAGTTCACTTGGTCAACTGGCCAGATGGTCCAACCGGTCCACTGGACCAACTGGCCGGTTGGTCCAATCGGTCCATAGGACCAACTGTCTAGTTGGTCCAACCGGTCCACAGGACCAACTTGCCACTTGGTCCAATCGGTCGATTGGTCCAATCGATCCACTAAACCAACAGGCCAGTTCGTCCAATCGGTCCATTGGACCAACTGACCAGTTGGTTCAACCGGTCCATAGGACCAACAGGCTAGATGGTTCAACAGGTCCATAGGACCAACTGGCCAGTTGGTCCATCCAGTCCTTAGGACCAACTGGCCAGTTGGTCCATCCAGTCCATAGGAGCAGTTGGCCAGTTGGTCCAACAGGTCCAGTAGCATAACTGGCGAGTTGGTCCAACCGATCCACAGGACCAACTGGCCAGTTGGTCCAACTGGTCCACTGGGCCAACTGGCCAGCTGGTCCAACCGCTCCACTGGACCAACAAGCCTGTTGTCCAACCGGTCCATAGGACCAACTGGCCAGTTGGTCCATCCAGTCCACTCGACCAAATGGCCAGTTGGTCCAACTAGTTCACTTGGTCAACTGGCCAAATGGTCCAACCGGTCCACTGGACCAACTGGCCAGTTGGTCCAATCGGTCCATAGGACCAACTGGCTAGTTGGTCCAACCGTTCCATAGGACCAACTAGCCAGTTGGTCCAACCGGTCCATAGGAGCAACTGGCCAGTTGGTCCAATCGGTCCATTGGACCAACTGGCCAGTTGGTCCAACCGGTCCATAGGAGCAGCTGGCCAGTTGGTCCAATCGGTCCATTGGACCAACTGGCCAGTTGGTCCAACCGGTCCATAGGATCAACCGGTCCATTGGGCCAACAGGCCAGTTGGTCCAACCGGTCCATAGGATCAAGTGGCCAGTTTGTCCAACCAATCCATAGGACCAACTGACCGTCCATAGGAGAAACATGTCAGTTAGTCCAATCGGTCCCGAAGACCAACAGGCAAGTTGGTCCAACCGGTCCCGTGGACCATCAAGCCAATCTGTCCAACCGGTCCATAGGACCAACTAGCTTGGTCCAACCGGTCCATAGGACCAACTGGTCAGTTGGTCCATCCGGTCCATTGGACCAAATGGCCAGTTGGTCCAACCGGTCCATTGAACCAACTGACTAGTTGGTCCAATCGGTCCATTATATTTACTGGCTAATTGGTTCAACCGGTCCACTGGACCAGCTGGCCAGCTGGTCCAACCGGTCCACTGGGCCAACAGGCCAGTTGGTCCAACAGGTCCACTGGACCAACAAGCCAGTTGGTCCAACAGGTCCACTGGACCAACAAGCCAGTTGGTCCAGCCGGTCCATAGGACCAACTCGCGAGTTGGTCCAACCGGTCCATTGAACCAACATGCCAGTTGGTCCAACTTGGTCCAACCGGTCCACTGGACCAACAAGCCAGTTGTTCCAACCGGTCCATTCGGTCCACTCGACCAACTGGCCAGTTGGTCCAACCGGTTCACTGGGTCAACTAGCCAGATGGTCCTACCGGTCCACTGGACCAACAGGCCAGTTGGTCCAACCGGTCCATAGGACCAACAGGCCTGTTGGTCCAACCGGTCCATAGGATCAACTGGCCAGTTGGTCCAACCGGTCCATTGGACCAACTGGCCTGTTGGTCCAACCAGTCCATTGGACCAACTTGCCAGTTGGTCCAATCGGTCCATTGGACCAACTGACCAGTTGGTCCAACCGGTCCACTAGACCAACAGGCCAGTTGGCCCAACCGGTCCACTGGACCAACTAGCCAGTTGGTCCAACCATTCCACAGAACCAACTGGCCAGTTGGTCCAACCGGTCCATTGGACCAACTGGCCAGTTGGTTTATCCGGTCCATAAGACCAACTGGCCAGTTTGTCCAACCGGTCCATAGGAGCAACTGACCTGTTGGTCTAACCGGTCCAGAGGACCAATTGACCAGTTGGTCTAACCGGTCCACTAGAGCAACAGGCCAGTTGGTCCAACCGGTCCACTGGACCAACTGGCCAGTTGGTCCAACCGGTCCACAGGACCAACTGGCCAGTTGGTCCAACCGGTCCATGGGACCAACTGGCCAGTTGGTCCATCCGGTCCATTGGACCAACTGGCCAGTTGGTCCAACTGGTCTATAGGACCAACTGGCCAGTTTGTCCAACCGGTCCACTGGACCAACAAGGCAGTTGGTCCAACCGGTCCACTGGTCCAACAGGCCAGTTGGTCCAACCGGTCCACTGGACCAACAAGCCAGTTGGTCCAACCGGTCCTCTAGACCGACTGGCCAGTGGGTCCAACCGGTCCATAGCACCGACCGCCAGTTGGTCCAACTGGTCCATATGACCTACTGGCCAGTTGGTCTGTCCGGTCCACTGGATCAACTGGCCAGTTGGTCGAACCGGTCCATAGGACCAACAGGCTAGTTGGTTCAACCAGTCCACTAGACCAAGTGGCCAGTTGGTCAACCTAGTCCATAGGACCAACAGGCCAGTTGGTCCAACCGGTCCATAGGACCAACTGGCTTGTTGGTCCAACCAGTCCACTGGGCCAACTGGCCAGCTGGTCCAACCGCTCCACTGGACCAACAAGCTTGTTGTCCAACCGGTCCATAGGACCAACTGGCCAGTTGGTCCATCCTTTCCACTCGACCAACTGGCCAGTTGGTCCAACCGGTTCACTTGGCCAACTGGCTAGATGGTCCAACCGGTCCACTGGACCAACAGGCCATTTGGTCCAACCGGTCCATAGGACCAACTGGCTAGTTGGTCCAACCGGTACATAGGACCAACTGGCCAGTTGGTCCATCCGGTCCATATGACCAACTGGCCACTTGGTCCACCGGGTCCATAGGAGCAACTGGCCAGTTGGTCTAACCGGTCCAGAGGAACAACTGACCAGTTGGTCCAACCTGTCCATTGGACCAACAAGGCAGTTGGTCCAATCGGTCCAATGGACCAACTGACCAGTTGGTCCAACCGGTCTATAGGACGAACTGGCCAGTTGGTTCAACCGGTCCACTTGACCAACATGCCAGTTGGTCCAACCGGTCCATAAGACCAACTGGCGAGTTTGTCCAACCGATCCATAGGACCAACTGACCAGTTGGTCCAACGGTCCATAGGAGAAACACGTCAGTTGGTCCAATCGGTCCAGAAGACCAACTGGCAAGTTGGTCCAACCGGTCCACTGGACCAACAAGCCAGTTGGCCCAACCGGTCCATAGGACCAACACGCCAGTTGGTCCAACCGGTCCACTGGACCAACTGGCCAGTTGGTCCAACCGGTCCATAGGACCAACTGTCTAGTTGGTTTAACCGGCCCACTAGACCAACTGGCCAGTTGGTCAAACCGGTCCATAGGACCAACTTTCTAGTTGGTTTAACCAGTCCATAGGATCCACTGGATCAACTGGCTAGTTGGTCCAACCGGTCTATAGGACCAACTGGACAATTGGTCCAACCGGTCCATTGGACAAACATGCCAAGGACCAGCAGGCCAGTTCATCCAACCGGTCCATCCGACCAGCAGGCCAGTTCATCCAGCCAGTCCACTGTCACCGCTTATGCATTTGATGCATAAGCAATAACAGGAGTAGAAGGGGTAAAGGAAATAGTAATAGGAGATAACATTAGAAATGCATTGCAAAGTAGATTCTTGTGTAGTGTAGAGTGCAGCGAGGTGACTGTTGGAATAGAGATTTGTAGGGGGGGGGGGGGGGGGGGGGACGGATTAGGAACGGCTGGAAGCCGGGGGGGGGGGGGGAAAGCCTCGAAGTGCGAAATGTGTGACGAAGGGCGAAATGTGTGACGAAGGGCGAAATGTGTCCCAACCCCGAGCCGCGCATTTGGGAATGTGCAGCACAGGGTTGGGCTGGGTAAGGTCTCGCACGCACGTACCACTCATTGCTTGTTTGCTAGTATTCTCTCGTAATAGTGGAAGTTATTGCTCTAAGCTCTTAGCACACAGTGGTACGCCACCAGGAGGGAACCAGTGGGGTGAGGGAGAGATCCCGTTCATACTAGCAAACAAGCGAAGGCACGCAGCATGGATACGTATGAGTTACGCTGGGGCCGGATCTTCACGCGTAGAGAGGAGGAAGGGCCGCAGCCTGAGGATTCGCAGGAGCGTGGGCGTTCCCTAGAGCGAGCGCCCAGAAGGCCGGCCTTCCGAGCGGATGGGATTCCCGTCGTGCCGGCCCGCCGAGAGAGAGAGACGGTGCACGACGTAGGAAGCGGCGGCAGACTCGATGCATCGACGAGCGGCGCGCCGTGGCGGAGGAACACGTTCCACTTGCGCGGCGACGAACACCGCCATCCGCGGGACGAAGGGGTGTTCCGCTCCCCGGAAGCGGGAGGGCGGCGACGGGATGAGCGAGGTCGATGGCGGGGGAGGGAGAGACTCCCGCGGGAATGGGGAGAAGGCTCGGGCATGAGCCGAGTCGAACAGGATCCGCGGGTCGAACGGACACGGGAGGAGAGTGACGAAGAGGAGGCGGGGATCGAGGAGGCTGAGCAGGAGGACGGCGACGAGCCGGTGTACGACGACGAGCAGGGATACGGCGACGAGCGGGAGCTCGGCGACGCGCAAGAGCACAGTGACGAGCGAGATCACGGCGATGAGCGGGAGCACGGCGGCGAGCGGGAGCTCGGCGACGAGCAGGAGGACGACGACTCGTGTCGGAGAACCTTCCTTCTCCCCCCCCCTCATGCTCTACTTCTCGCCCCTGCTCTTCTTCCTGCACCTGCTCTTCTTCCCTGCACCTGCTCTTCTTCCTGCACCTGCTCTTCTCCTGCTGTCTCCCTGCTTCCTCTCTTCTCCATGTTGCATAGCCTCACTCAACCACGTGAACGGGATTCCTCCCTCACCCCACAGGTTCCCTCTTGGTGTGTGCCACAGAGTGCTAGAAGGTCGGATGACAACTTTCACTACTAAGAGAGAATAACAACGAGAAAGCATCGAGGGGTTGGGAGTGAGTGACCTTACCCAACCCCTGGCTGCACATTCCCAAATGTGCGGCTCGGGGTTGGGATTCCTTGGTTTCACATTTCGCCCTTCGATGCCCTTTCCCTCCCAATCCAACCGCTCCTATCCCCTTTCCCCCCCCTTTCTACACCCCTCTTACCAGCTGCTTCGCTACAATCTATACCTACAGCTCATTCCTATCTCATGCTAATATAACTATTCATACTGTTTATGGTTGTAACCAAGAGCACTGCCTACACCATCATCCTACTGTTATTGCATATGCATTAGGTGCATATGTGGTGACAGCTGTCGGAGAACCTTCCTTCTCCCCCCCCCTCATGCTCTACTTCTCGCCCCTGCTCTTCTTCCTGCACCTGCTCTTCTTCCCTGCACCTGCTATTCTTCCTGCACCGGCTCTTCTCCTGCTGTCTCCCTGTTTCCTCTCTTCTCCATGTTGCATAGTATCTCAACCACTGCCCCCTCCTGTGCTCGTGCTCTAGCCGCTTGAGCTCGGGTCACAGGACCTTCTTGTAGAGGCTTGCCCCCCTTCGCTATGGCCGTGTTACTCTGATGCTCCTTCAGGATTGCTCCCTTCTCATTCTCCAACACCAGCACTCCTGATGGACGTGTTGGGTGCAAATTCATATTGCACGACATCGTGCCGTCTGTTTGTACGAGTATGCGTGTGCGAATGCATTTGGGTGTGAATTGAATGTTCGTGTGTTTGTTTGCTTTCGCAATTTTCGCTTGATGCATTTGCAGGTACTCGCGCAATGTGCGCTTCGGCACAACATTGTACGCGCTATGAACAGTGCAAGCAGAAAGGACGAGCTCGCAAAGGAACCCAAGATGGACGCTTTGCAGTTCGGTTGAATTGATTGCGCAGATGCAGTTCTATCCAACTCGAAATTGTACTGTTTTGTATGGTTGACTATAGTGTAGCAGGGCAGGCACTATAGGGGTACAATTTAGGTGAAGGTTGGATGTTGTTTGTCTGTATCTGCATGCTACAGGGCCAGGGGAAACCAGCGGAACCAGCATTTGGCTGGTTGGGCAAAGACAAAACAGGTTCTGTTTTTAGGACCTGAACCTGGTTGTTGTTTTCCCAGGTTGGAAAAACAGAACCAGAGGTTGTTTACCAACCTACCACCTGCTGTTTTGTCCAGCCAGGTTGGTTCTGTTGCTTGGAATTATTTGGGATCATCCCTGGTTGTTCCCAGGTTGATTCCCAAGGTCCTTGCCAGCTAGAACTATTTATTCCTTCTCTGTTTGTACATGGATGTATTCAATTTGATTCAAGCGAATTCCTTCCTTGCTGGAATTTCGTTTCTACGCGGTGCGACGGCGGAATGCTACCGAGTCAACGCTAGTACGCTAGCACTACGACGCTAGGCAAACGCTGTCCGAGTCATAACTTCGTAATGGCAGAACTTTTCGCGAGGCAACTTGGCTCTTTTGAAAGCTCTTAGAGTGAGCTTCGATATAGCGAGTTCTCAGCTTAATCCGATCGACGGTCTGCACGGCACGCTGCGCGACGTTCAAGGTACTCTTGCTGTTTTGACTAAGTCCCTCTTGATCCCTCTCTCTACATACTCGGACCCGAGGATAGGGGCTGGTCTTGTACCAAGCACCCAGGGACCCTTGGAGGTGACCCCGAGGAGAGGTTTTAAGTTGGATAACGTCTTAATAGCCTGAGTTTATTAGGCCCTTACACCAACAAGCTGGTATCAGAGCTGCGTTATAGCGATCCTCGTTATAGGTAGCTATGGCGGGAAAGGATTCGGCGGGAGCTAGTGAATCTTCAGCCCAAGATCGTAGCGGCAGCCAAGATTCTGGTGTTTCGGCGCCTAGGGGAGCGCGAACAAACCAGGGCTCGCTGATCAAGGAGGTGCTGAAAAACTTCACTGTCGAGAAGTTCAATGGTGAGGGCTATGATGATTGGGCCTGGAAAATGCAACTATATTTCCGTCAGATTGGATTGCTGAAACTAATGATTGGGGAGGAGCCTAGACCGAGTGACCCCGTGCTGCAGGAAGAATGGGACGAGCGCTCGTCGGCTGGCTACTACTTAATGTCGCAGAGTTTGGAGCTGAACCGGCGACACCACGTCATGCACCTGCTGCCGGAGGATAAGTGCGGTCCGAAGGCGTGGACCGTGTTGAAGGAGCTGCACGCCCCAACCTCCGTTGCCGCGACGCTCATGATGGAGAGGGAGCTGTCCGCGCTGCGCCTGAGCGAGGGAGAGCCGGTGCAACCTGTTCTGGACAAGATGCGTGATCTCTACGCGAAGCTGGCAACCGCGGGAATCACCTACCCGGAGCAGACCAAATGCTTGAAGATGCTCTCGCTGCTGCCGGAGTCGTGGCTGCAATACACGAGCGGATTGAGCCTGCCGCAGAACCAGAGCTTGTGGACGCTCGAGTGGGTGCGGACGAAGATTCTGGAGGAGGACTTCCGTCGCCGCCAACTGAGGGGTGGAGACGAGGGCAGCAGCGGCTACGGCATGCAAGGAGGCAAACGTGGCAGAGGACGTGGCTTCCGTGGTGCTGGTCGCGGTGCAAAGAAGGACGACGACTCCAACGACCAACAAGGAGGTACCGGTTGGGGTCGCGGTGGGAAATCTGGACGTGGGGGCAGATCGGGTGCTGGTGGCAAAATGAAAGGGAGCTGCTAGTATTGTGAGAAGGAGGGGCATCCCTGGTTCTTATGTTATAAGAAACCCGAAGGATGGACCCCCCAGAATCGCCATCAGGATGGGGGCGCGCGGAGCAACCAGAAAAGCGGCGCGAACATGGTCGCAGATTCGCCCGACGACAACCCGAAAGGCAAAGGCGGTGCTGAGAAGAAAAAGGAGCGCACTGCGGGACAGTTCTTCCATGTTGGAGACGAGGGGGAGCAAGGAGACGGTTCTGCCAAGGTTGGAGCAGAGCTGCATCCCCTGGACTTTTGGGTGTTGGACACGGGCGCTGCGTGGACGATGACGCCGCGGAAGGACCTGCTAGACGACCTATGCGCTGCACCAATCTCTGAGGTGTGCTCTGCCTCTGGACATGCGTTGAAGGTGGCTGGTGCGGGACGAGCTGCATTCAAGGGAGCGGATGGCAAGCCGGTGGTGCTGCACGACGTTCTGCTCGTTCCCGACCTCAAGGCCAACCTCATCTCCCTCCGTAAGCTCGCCAAGGCTGGGGTGAGTACTAGCACGGATGGGGCACGCACTTACAAGGGGCAGCTGGGCAACCGGGTGCTTTGGGATCTGCACGAGAGCAAGGATGTGTATAGATCCATGTGGTAGTTGCCGGCATTGGCGTGGCACGGTGGGGGGCAGGCTAGAGAGAGGTCTGCATCCCAGGGGGAGTGCAACGCTGTTGGAGCGGTTGGTGTGAGAGTGTTGGCCAGATCCGGGGAGACAGATTGGGCAACGGCACACCGACGCTTGGGGCATGTAGCAATGCCTTTGCTGAAGCAGCTGAAGAAGGATGGGGCCGTCAAGGGTCTGAAGCTGAGCGGCCAGCCACCTGATGACAACTGTGAAATCTGCTTGCTATCCAAATTCACCCGTTTCCCCTTCCATAGTGTGGTTGGCAGGAGCAAGAAGCCTTTGGAGCTGGTCGACATGTACTTGGTTGGGCCGCTGCCGGTTCAGGGGCACAAAGGGGAGCAAAACTTCTTGACCATAGTGGATGATTGGAGCAGGCTGATGTGGGTGTTGGGTGCAAATTCACATTGCACGACATCCTGCCGTCTGTTTGTACGAGTATGCGTGTGCGAATGTATTTGGGTGTGAATGGAATGTTCGTGTGTTTGTTTGCTTTCGCAAATTTTGCTTGATGCATTTGCAGGTACTCGCGCAATGTGCGCTTCGGCACAACATTGTACGCGCTATGAACAGTGTAAGCAGAAAGGACGAGCTCGCAAAGGAACCCAAGATTGACGCTTTGCAGTTCGGTTGAATTGATTGCGCAGATTCAGTTCTATCCAACTCGAAATTGTACTGTTTGTTTGGTTGACTATAGTGTAGCAGGGCAGGCACTATAGGGGTAAAATTTAGGTGAAGGTTGGATGTTGTTTGTCTGTATCTGCATGCTACAGGGCCAGGGGAAACCAGCGGAACCAGCATTTGGCTGGTTGGGCAAAGACAAAACAGGTTCTGTTTTTAGGACCTGAACCTGGTTGTTGTTTTCCCAGGTTGGAAAAACAGAACCAGAGGTTGTTTACCAACCTACCACCTGCTGTTTTGTCCAGCCAGGTTGGTTCTGTTGCTTGGAATTATTTGGGATCATCCCTGGTTGTTCCCATGTTGATTCCCAAGGTCCTTGCCAGCTAGAACTATTTATTCCTTCTCTGTTTGTACATGGATGTATTCAATTTGATTCAAGCGAATTCCTTCCTTGCTGGAATTTCGTTTCTACGCGGTGCGACGGCAGAATGCTACCGAGTCAACGCTAGTACGCTAGCACTACGACGCTAGGCAAACGCTGTCCGAGTCATAACTTCGTAATGGCAGAACTTTTCGCGAGGCAACTTGGCTCTTTTGAAAGCTCTTAGAGTGAGCTTCGATATAGCGAGTTCTCAGCTTAATCCGATCGACGGTCTGCACGGCACGCTGCGCGACGTTCAAGGTACTCTTGCTGTTTTGACTAAGTCCCTCTTGATCCCTCTCTCTACATACTCGGACCCGAGGATAGGGGCTGGTCTTGTACCAAGCACCCAGGGACCCTTGGAGGTGACCCCGAGGAGAGGTTTTAAGTTGGATAACGTCTTAATAGCCTGAGTTTATTAGGCCCTTACACCAACAAGCTGGTATCAGAGCTGCGTTATAGCGATCCTCGTTATAGGTAGCTATGGCGGGAAAGGATTCGGCGGGAGCTAGTGAATCTTCAGCCCAAGATCGTAGCGGCAGCCAAGATTCTGGTGTTTCGGCGCCAAGGGGAGCGCGAACAAACCAGGGCTCGCTGATCAAGGAGGTG